CAATATTTTGCATACAGCTTTTCAGGCGATGATTATCTCATCCGAACACGCTGCTGGACTTGAAACGAAAATTATAATTCTGCATTTCCCTGTGAAAGAGCCGCTAATGACTGGTTGTTCTGTTTTCAGAAACAAACATCAAAAATCTGGCTGTAACATTGAAGACGGGAAGGAAGAGAAGACAGATAAAATACAGCATGGCCCGGCCGGCGTGGCTGAGTGGTTGAACTTCGGCCCATGAACCAGGAGGTCAGGGTTCAATTCCCGATCAGGGCACATACCCATATTGCGGGCTTGATCCCCAGTAGGGGACGTGCAGGAGGCAGCGATCAATGATTCTCTCTCATCATTGATGTTTCTCTCTCTCTCCTTCTCGTCCTTCCTCTCTGAAATCAATAAAAATATATATTTGAAAATATGAAAATAGAATAAAATACAACATGAAGGGCTCTTTTCCACCACCATCACCATCCACAGTCATTTATTTATCAGGAGACCAGAAAACGCATTCTCCCAACTGGGATACGTCTGAAAGTGAAAGGTGGCTGTTCACGGTCATGTGGGGACGATATCCTAGGAGTTGAGCTCTCCTTACATACACGGACTATATGTAACATGTTACATGTTGGGAATATAAAGAGGCAAAACATGTAATTTCTCCCCCAAAGGCTTAAATTTTAGGTGGGGAGAGAAGATATTTACAAGAAAGAAACACACCATGAGGCAGCTAAATAGGTGTATTGACACTAGGAGGCAATTTTTTCTTTTGATATATTTGTATTGATTTCAGAGAGGAAGGGAGAGAGGGGGAGAGAGAGAGAGAGAAACATCAATGATGAGAGAGAATCACTGATCGGCTGCCTCCTGCACGCCCCACACTGGGGATAGAGCCCACACCTGGGCATGTGCCCTGACCGGGAATCGAATGGTGACCTCTTGGTTCATAGGTCGATGCTCAACCACTGTGCCACGCTCATGCAAGTCTTCTTGGCTAACCAACCAGAAAATAGCAGCTGCTTGCAAGCCATAGGCTCCCTGTGGGTTTCCTTTTATACATTTGCATTTCCAGGGTCATGTGGATCGTTAACCAATGGCATCTGAGCCTCCCCTCTTCCCGGAGTCTCGGCCTGAGGGAGCCCCCTCCCCAGCTCTCGCAGAGAAGGGCTGAGCGGTGGGCCGGGCCTGAGACCCGCAGGGACAGGAGGCACCCACTTGCGCCATCAGCTCCAGGCTGAATGGCCATTTGTCTGCACACGTCCCTGATTATGGAAGACATGGTGATGACATCCACAGTCACACTCTAAAGTCTCTCCGTCAACTGTTGTCAACATTTAATTATACTCACCTCGTTCTCATTCTCCAATCCAGCCTCTTCAGCGGCTCCCTCAGCGCGTGGGAAAGTTCCCCGGGCCACCCCGAGAGGGGCCAGGACTCAGGACATCTCCCTCCATCCTCTTCCTTAAGGGCCGCCCAGCTTCATTCTGAAGGGTTAGGACAGTGGTCGGCAAACGCATTGGTCAACAGAGCCAAATATCAACAGCACAACGATTGAAATTTCTTTTGAGAGCCAAATTTTTTAAACTTAAACTATATAGGTATGTACATTGTTATTAACTTAATGAGCGTACTCCTAAGCTGGCCTTTGCTAAAAACGTCCTCAATCTGATTGAGGTACGTTCGCTGAGGTCAACCCCTTCCAACTCTCCCATCCACACTCGTCTTGTATACTTGTTTCGTCTATCTCCTTTCGTTCGTCCTCTCTATATGTCCACCCCCCACTTCTTCTAAGGCCACTTCTTCAAAATAGACTCGCCCAGGCCAAAAACCGACTTCTGCGCATGGGCCACGAAGTTTCAATCGCACTGTACGTGCGCGCCCGCAAAGAGCTGCATGTGGCTCGAAAGCGGCGGTTTGCTGACCCCTGGGTTAGGAGCATGGTGGGCACATTGCAGGCAAGGCTGGACAGCTCTCCCTCAGCCTCCCAGTCTGAGCCAGTTTTCCCAGGAGGCGTCGGGGTTCACAAGTGGGGCACAGAATCACCCTGAAGGTCTCCAACTCTACCTGCTGGTCCCTTCCCCCAATGCCCTGGGGACAGAGTTCTCCCGGCCCCACCCCGGCTGCAAATCACCGGTCTAATTTGTTAGGAAAGTGCTTTATTAAGTTTAAATTTAGCAGGCAAGGCTGTGGATAGCCCTATCTCTGTTTCTGAGAAACAGCTGTTTACTATTCTAACCCGGCAGAGGCCTGGCAGCCACAGCTGCTCTGCCAGACACCCCTGCCCTGAGCCCACAGCTGCCCGGCTTGGTGCTCAAGTTAGAAGGGGCACACGACCTAGGACTCTGCAGGACCAACGAGGGCAGTCGGGACCTATTTTTGATGATCCCGGGGGATTATTTAAAGGAAATTCCATGAAGTCCATGTAGCTCTTTAAAAGTATTTGGTTCCGCCCAGCTAGTGTGGCTCAGTGGTTGAGCGTCGACCTATGAACCAGGAGGTCACGGTTCGATTCTGGTCAGGGCACTTGCCAGGGTTTCAGGCTCCATCTCCAGTAGGGGGCGTGCAGGAGGCAGCTGATCAATGATTCTCTCTCACCCTCTCCCTTCCTCTCTGAAATCAATAAAAATATAAAGTATTTGGTTCCACTGCCTGCTTTCCTTGTCCCCGGTTCTATCCCTGGATTTCCCTCTATACGTTTATGCGTCTGGAACTGAACAGCAATGAAACGAAAGCCATTGTGCCAGGGAGATGTTCCCGGCTGGGAGTTCCAGGTGAGCTGCAGGCTGGGTGGTTGGCAGAGTTCCTGCTAATCAGAGAGATCCCTTATTCTGTCATTTCCTCCAGGGGAAATGGGACGTGGCTCACAGCTCCCCGGGCACTGTGGCCAGATTGTTCCCCGAGCTCCCAGAAACTGTCTTGCCTACATGTTATTCTTTTTTTAAAAATATATTTTATTGATTTTTTACAGAGAGGAAGGGAGAGGGATAGAGAATTAGAAACATCGATGGGAGAGAAACATCGATCAGCTGCCTCCTGCACACCCCCTACTGGGGATGTGCCCACAACCAAGGTACATGCCCTTGACCGGAATCGAACCTGGGATCCTTGAGTCTGCAGGCCGACGCTCTATCCACTGAGCCAAACCGGTTAGGGCCACAAGTTCTTCTTGAAACACTTGCTGCAGGCAAAGCCCTCTATTAGACCCCCGCCTCTAAGTCACATGCATGGGATGTGATGCTCGGTGTTGGAGTGGGGGCGCTGGACAGTGGGCAAAGGGTCACTGAATCTCTACAGGGACATTGTAGACAAGCTGGCCGTGTGACCCATGGCTAAAACGAGCCTCGGGGGCCAGAGGGGATGGAAAGTGATGAGGAGAGGTGCCCGAGCGGGAGATAGTGTAACCTCAGATGACACCCGTAGCCTGTACTATATACGCTGAATGGATGGGGGCCTGAGTGCTCACGACAATGGAGCAGGGAGAGCCCATGTACCAGAAGGTTTCCCTTTCTCTTTCATTCTTTTTTTAAATTTATATCTTTTTATTGATTTCAGAGAGGGAGAGAGATGGAAACATCGATGAAAAAGAATCATTGATCTGCCACCTCCTGCACGCCCCACAATAGGGATCAAGCCAGCAACCTGGGCATGTGCCCTCACCGGGAATCAATCTGTTGACTTATGCCAGCTGGGCTCTTATATGTTATTTTTAAAGTCTATCCTTGAATTACTTTCAGATATTTCCCTTCATATATTAATGATTGATACAATTTACTAATGATTAATATAGTCAATACATTAATATAACCAATGATTATATGGGCATTCCTAGAATCTGAAAATTCTAACCCTGCTCCTTGAATTTTTTTAATTACTAAAATTAAACATAAAAAACAAACACGTGGGAAAAGCTAATGTCGCTATAGATACTCAGGCAAACAAAAATCTCATGTATTTGATTTGATTTGATGGAGAGCAGGGTGGCAGTGCATTGTGAATTCCAAAACGCAGCTAAAAATAACAACTATGGTTGAGTAAGACTGCCGGAGATGTTCTAAGAACAGATGAAGAAACCCGATAGCAAATTCCTCTGCAGTTTGCAAATAGACTTGTGAGCTTGGTTGGAAAGTCTGGGTCTTCTGCTCAAGTGTGGAATAACATCTAAATTCATCCCAATACCGCCTCCGTGGCTTAGTGGTTGGGGAAGTGGTCAGGATTGGTCCTATGAGTAGAGTAACTCTGAATATTTCAAGATGATTGTAATAACATATAAAGAAAAAAACCTTGGAGAATATATTGCTGCTCAGAAGGCTCAGAAATATATTTGCCTTCATGAAAGCAGTAAACCATACTTCCTTAAGAAATATGGGCTATGCCCTGACCGGTTTGGCTCAGTGGATAGAGCGTCGGCCTGCAGACTCAGGGGTCCCGGGTTCGATTCCGGTCAAAGGGCATGTACCTTGGTTGTGGGCACATCCCCAGTGGGGGGTGTGCGGGAGGCAGCTGATTGAGGTTTCTCTCTCTTTGATGTTTCTAATTCTCTATCCCTCTTCCTTCCACTCTGTAAAAAAATCAATAAAATATATTTTTTTAAAAAAACAAGAAATATGGGCTATGACTGGGTCTGCAGGAAGCTGGACATTTAGGGAAAGGTCTCTCAAGGAGGTGTTATTAGTAGAAAAAGCACTCAAATGGGATTAGAGGACCTGGGGCTCGGGTCCTATCTTTAAAAAATTTTTTTAAATTTTTTTTAGTTCAGAGAGGAAGGGAGAGGGAGAGATAGAAACATCAATGATGAGAAAGAATCATTGATTGGCTGCCTCCTGCACGCCCCCCACTGAGGATGGAGCCTGCAACCCCGGCATGTGCCCTGACCAGGAATCAACCATGAGCTCCTGGTTCATAGGTCGACGCTCAACCACTGAGACACACTGGCCGGGCCAATGGGGTACATTTAAAAGAAAAGAAAGCTCAGTAGTGGCCTCCAAAGAGCAGGGAGGCTGGACCGGGCGGCGGCACAGGTACCTGCAATGCATGGTTCTGCTCCTGCATTTGTTTCGACTGCCTGACGCGAGCTACTGGGCGGTCCGCTCCCACTAGGGCACGCGGGGGCCGGAACCTTCCGACGCCAACCGGGAGCAGAGGCCCAGCCCCTGGGGAGGGTGGCACCGGGAGTCGGAAGTTCGGTCGACGAAGGCGGGGCTTCGTTGCCAGGAGGCGGAGCCGTCGTTTGCGTTTCCAGGAAGCTTGTCTCCTTTCTCTCGCCGTAGCGCCCGGAACCGGAAGCCGCTCTGAGGCGTGCGCTGGGTTTCCGGTCGCGAGCCGCCCTGGGCTCCATGTGGGAACTGCTGTGAGGGGTTTGCGATCCGAGTGCTGCCGAAATCGAGCTCCCGGTGAGTGGGGGCTGGGGGCGGGGGTGGGCCATGCAGGGCACGGCGTCCGCGGGTGTGGAAGTCCGGGAGCCGGACTGAGGGGCCTTGGAGCTCCTGGGGGCCGGGCAGCTGCCTGTGGGGGAGGCGTTTGCTGCTCGCAGGCAGGCGGAGGAGACAGCTTGGCTGACGGCCGGCGCGTTTCCTCGCCCGTGTCTCAGGATCCCGCCAGCGGGAGAGATGACGTCCTTAGCCCAGCAGCTCCAGCGCCTCGCCCTCCCGCAGAGCGACCCCAGCCTCCTGTCCAGGGATGAAGTTGCCTCTCTGTTGTTTGACCCCAAGGAAGCGGCCACCATCGACCGGGACACCGCCTTTGCCATCGGTGAGCTCCTGCCCCTTCGAACGCCACGGGGAGCGTTGGCTTTCTGGATGTGGCTGTATTTCCTTGCTTTCTCTCCTGACCTGCCCTCTCCCGGAGCGGATCCTAACTTGTTGACCTCACGTTGTTAGGGAAAGAGAATGACAGTCAGGTGCAAGGCGCCTGAAACGTACATACGTGCACAGATGCAACCACAGGGCTAGGGAGGTCGTCTAATGCACAGAGAGGACGGACAGCCACAAGGGGCTGAGTTACTATCCTTCCTATATAATAAAACCCTAATATGCAAATCGACCCAACCGGAGGACAGGTCGCTATGACACACTGACTATCAGGGGGCAGTCGCTCAATGCAGGAGCGTCTGCTCCCCCCGCCCCCCAGAAGTAGGCAATGGGGGGGGGGGAGTGGCCAGCGGGCAGCGCCAGGTCACCAAGCAAGGCGGGTGGTGGGTAGGGGGTGATCGCCCCGCACGCCGGTCACCCCACAGATGGGCCTGATCGCTGGCCAGGCCTAGGGACCCTACCCTATTTGTTGGGAACAGCCTCTTAGATTTAAAAATTAAAACCTGGCAAGGCTACTCGAACCCTGAAAAGACAGGATGATGCAGCGATGACATGCATGGACTCTGGCTTGCACATTTTGTGGGCAGCCCTGACTCCTGACACTTAGAACTGTGACAAAGCCAGTGACTTCTCTCTGCTTCAGTTTCTCCACCCATAAGGTGGGGGAAATGGTATGACTTCCTCAGAAGGATCATGTTATGAACTACTTTTTATAATCACGGCAAAAAAATGTAGCTGCCCATACAGCAGCAAGATGCCTTTCACCTGCATGAAAAGTATGGTCACTGGTGCATGCAGCATCCCAGATTGGGAGAGGGATGTCCGACGGCCGGTTTAGGCCCGACATCCCCCAAGGGGTCCCCGATTGCAAGAGGGAGCAGGCCAGGCTGAGCCCCCCCCCCCCACACACACACACACGAATTTCGTGCACCAGGCCTCTAGTAGCAGATACTAAACACACACACACAACACAGCCCCTGTAGGAAGTACTTCTTGTTCTCCTAGTTGGTGCAATATTATTTATTCTCTAGTTGAAAATGAGGAATCTGTGTTTGGGACCATGTTACAGGTTGTGCACGCTAAAAGGATTCAGAGTTCTTTGAAGGGTGAGTAAAACTGCGAACGAGGGGTGAGATGCGCCTCCTTGCAAAGGGTCATTAAAGGAACCGTCCTTTTCCCAGGGTGCACCGGCCTGGAGGAGCTGCTCGGCATCGATCCCGCCTTCGAGCAGTTCGAAGCCCCCTTGTTCAGCCAGCTCGCCAAGACCTTGGCGCGCAGCGTGCAGACCAAAGCCGTGAACAAGCAGCTGGATGAGAACATTTCGTTGTTCCTCATTCACTTGTCCCCCTACTTCCTGCTGAAGCCAGCACACAAGTGTCTGGAGTGGCTGATTCACAGGTAGGAAGCGGAATTACAGAAATAATCGGGCTGACGACTTTGATCTTTTAAAAAAAACAAATAAATAAATAATGACAGCATGTACCCACTTAAAGCTGAAAAATTAGGTAAGCGAGGGCTTAACGTGATGCCTGGAGATGTGGTGAGATGAGCCGGTCCGTCTGCCGTTAAACTCGTTTTTGTTGACAGTGACACACGGTACAGGACTGCTGAAGGTCTTGAGGTCGCACCTCATCCGTTCTGAGGCGCTCGTGTCACTTTGCATTAGCAGTTGTTACTGTGTGTTGGGCAGAGGGGACCACTGAACTTCTTTCTTGCTAAAGTAACAAAGTCAGTGGTTTGGGGAAAAGGGAAATAGCAATCCTCTGAAACACCAGAATTAGGAAAATCGTAATTGAACGTGTATCGAACATTTATATGCCAGGCCCCATGGTGAGTGAACACTTGGCATGCATTATCTCAGTACTCACAACATTCCTATGGGGAGACACTTGTCCCCATTTTATAAATGGGAAGACTGAGGCATAGATGGGTTACTAATGTTGCCTAAGTCGCACATCTAGTAAGTTGGATACAAGTTTGTTTCCAAGGTCTGATACTTCATCCTCTTTGGGAGTTGTCTCAGTAAGTTTACCCAGCTTTATTTTCTCACTTACTAGCATCACATCACAGCTTATACATCTTTGTTTATTCCCCCTTATATACGTTTTAAGAAAAGAAATACTTCTGTTTCATTCGTTGGAGACATGGTGATAAAGTGACTTCCCTTTAGGAAGCAAGTGAGTCGTGGAGAAAACATAATATTTTCTGGGTCTTCTAATTATCAGAACATTAAACTCATCAGACAAAAAAAGAATCAAGTCTGTAATATTTTCCTGGGCCTTCTAGCATTCAGTTTTCCCAAATAGATCAAATACTCTAAGGAGCACTTTTGCATTTGAGTCTGCATTTACTTATTCATGTTACATTGAGTTTGATACAAAGAAGGCTGCCCTTCGTTACTGTTTTGAAATAAATGCTACAATGAAGGTGTATGCAGTGTTTGGGGCTTGGAGAACCCCCTGAATTAGTCGAGGAAGGCTTAGTGGGGAGAGTAGTGCCTTGGCTAGCACAAAACCACATAGAAAACTAAGAAAAGGCACAGTGGTGTGTTACTCTGAAAGGTACCGGTGGAGTGGAGACACAGTAAGAGGGGTCACTGCTGGGGGGGGATTAGGAAAAGCTTAGAAAAAGAGGCATCTGAGCTAGGGTTTGAAGGCTGGAAAGATTTAATGTATGTGACAGAATTAACAAATCTGTCTTTTGTTACTAGGTTAGAGGGACCAGTACAAAGTTTTGTGAAGTTCATGGACAAGTTCTGTAGGGTTTAATTTGATGATTTTGTTTTTGATCAGTATTTTGGTTTTAGAATTACGATAATGAGGGAACTGAGGCAGCTGTGGAAGGTGAACCCTGGAGCGTTGCTGCCTGGTGGCCGGCTGCTTCTCCGTTGGTTTGACTGCAGTGATCCCACGGTTATGTTAATGTTATGATAGGTTAAAACAAAGCTGAGAGAAAGTGAGTGGGATACAGGTTTTGGTATTGATATTTCATATATTACCGCATAGGAATTGGCAGAACCGTGTTGAGTACTTCAGTGCAAAATAGAGGGCTATGGTTAATGCTCTGTATCCTATAATTACGTGATTGTTTTGACTAGTATTCATTCTAAGTATTTTTAGCTCATTGATAATACAATGTGGACGTGTAAGGAAATACGTGCTTGTAAGTTTTGTGTCAATTTGAATTGTTTGCTTTTCCCCCCAGGTTCCACATCCATCTGTATAATCAAGATAGCCTCATAGCTTGTGTTCTCCCGTACCATGAGACAAGAATATTTGTGCGGGTTATACAGCTCCTAAAAATTAATAATCCAAAGCACAAATGGTTCTGGTTATTGCCAGTTAAGGTATGATTGTTGAATGACACGTATCTGTGATCAGTACAAATCTTGATTAAGATGTAGTTTGGAAAAAATAAAGTCATTGGTGCTTCTGAGGGTATTACCTCCATTTTTATTTCCTAACTTCCTGTTTAAATAGCAGCTGGGTTTTATTTATACCTGATACAGGCTGGGCAATTTAGATAGAGGGTGGGGCAAAAGTAGGTTTACAGTTGTGAGTACAGGAAACAAGGCTTATTCTTGTGCTATTTATTAATTATTGTATTATTTTCCATATGAAGCCCCGGTTGGTGTGGCTCAGTTGATTTGAGTGTCATCCCGTGCACCAAACGGTCATGGGTTCAATTCCCGGTCTGGGCACATACCCAGGTTGCTGGTTTGATTCCCCAGTCAGTACTCCTGTGGGAGGCAGCCAGTCCATGTTTCTCTCTCCCTCTTCCTTCCTATAAAAATATAGCCGGGTGAGGATTAAAAGTTACGATCAGTCAGTGGCTGTTCTTTCTGTCTCTGACAGCAATCTGGAGTGCCCTTAGCTAAAGGAACTTTGATTACCCACTGCTACAAAGATCTTGGATTCATGGATTTCATTTGCAGTTTGGTAACAAAATCTGTGAAGGTGAGTAGTATATTGTCTCATGAATGTATAATTCCATTAAACGGTCGCTTGCTCTGAATGGAGAAAACGTATTGGACCTTCCCCAGTAACAGTGGTGGTTGGAGAAAGTTCCTTTTGTAAAAGACCCTCCTGTTCAGGAGTGTGAGCAGTGGGTCGGTCTTTCATTATAAAAGATGTTTTTCTACAAAAATTATTCCTTGCCAAGTTCTATTTATAATGATTGTGGAAACAGTTTAAAGAGACAGTCTCTCTCTGACCGGTTTGGCTCAATGGATAGAGCGTCGGCCTGTGGACTGAAGGGTCCCAGGTTCGATTCCAGTCAAGGGCATGTACCTTGGTTGCGGGCACATCCCCAGTAGGGGGTGTGCAGGAGGCAGCTGATCGATGTTTCT